ATTTCACTCTTTACTTTAACCCTCTGATAAGGGACAAAGGACACAGCCAGAGTGGACCAGGCTGGGCAATCTCTGCTCTTATTCCCTGCTCTCAATCCCTGCTCCCCATTCCCTGCTCTCAACCCCCAATCCCTGCTCCCCATTCCTTTCTCTCAATCCCTGCTCCCCATTCCCTGCTCTCAACCCCCAATCCCTGCTCCCCAATCCCTGCTCCCCATTCCCTGCTCTCAATCCCTGCTCTCAATCCCCTGCTCCCTGCCATGCCCAGCCCTCAGAAGCAGCTCCAGGGGACCCCATCACCCCCAGGAGCCCCAGAACCCCTCTGAGTGTGGTTTCCTGCCTCCCTTGGCTGCCTGCTCCCCGCCCCAGCCCCGAGCTGGCCAGGCACGCTTCTCCCTCGAGCCTGGCAAAGGTGCCAGGAGCAGCTGCCAGGCCTGCCAGGACAGGCTCAGCAGGGCACAGCTCTGCCCCAGCTGCCACCCCTGTCCCCTGCCAGGAACCCACAGCCAGAAGGGGATCCCTTGCACTGAGGTCGCACCCCTGGCAGCCTGCACTGCTCCCCAACACACCTGGGAAGGGTGCAGCCATCCCAAGCGGTTCCAATCCCACTTTTCAGCCTGGATTTGTGGCCTGGGAAGCTGTAAATAAATAACCCCTGGCAGGACTCTGCTCTGAGGGGCCTGCGTGCCAGGCTGGCAGAAGCCATCACCACAGTGATTCTGGAGGCTCCACACCCTCTGGAGAGCCCAGAGAAGCGAAGGAAGCAAAACCCCCTCATTTCCAGACTAATTTAATCCTCCTTTTGACATCCAAGAAATGCTGCTGCTGCCCTGCTGGGAGGGAATAATGAGATTGAGGTTCTCTCCCTGCTGGCTCTAATTAAACTGGGAGGAGTCAGCATAGGAGGAAAGGAGGAGGGACCCCATCCCCACACCCCCAAACCCACCAGGAAGGGAGAGAAACCAACACAGATCCCTCAGACACAAGCTTGGAGGAGCTCCTTGTTTAACCTGGAGCCTCAGCACACTCAGGGAGGCAAATAAGGAAGGAGGGAAAGGAAAGGAGGGAAAGGAAAGGAAGGAAAGGAAGGAAAGGAAGGAAAGGAAGGAAGGGAAGGAAGGGAAGGAAGGAAAGGAAGGAAGGAAAGGAAGGAA